CAATCCACATTGTAAGCAAGGTTTTGGAATTCAACAACAAATATGGTAGTTGACAGTGATTTCTATTATAAAAATAAGAGTTTGGTTTTTATTATTATTTTTTTATCACTTTCTTTGAATATGGCCATAAATACTTTTAGAGATGAATTCAAATCATAAAAGATTCATGAATCTTTTTCCATCAAAGATATAAACCAAATAAGAACAATTCCAAATAGAAGTGCAGATGTGAACCAAACTTAATTAAATTTTTCAAGGTATTAGAAAATATGCACCTTAGATAGAGCTTGATTTGTTGAAGAAATCCTCAAAATATTCATCTTATTCCATGTAGCTTCTTAAGCATATTAATATTTTCCTCTCTCATGCTTGTAGCAGCAAAACTTTTTGAATTTGGTTGTAACGATGTCGGAGTAGAGAGAGTTTGCTTCAAGAAAGCGTTGAGCTTTTAGCTGCTACTAAATACTCAACCAAGTCTAAGATATAAAAGTACCAAGTGTATATATATAATATTTTTTCTTTTTGGGTAATTACATTAAAACATAAGTCTAAGTACCAAGAAAACACCCAAATGTATGATAAAGTATCTTAAAACCTTATATATCCTTATGAAAAATATTTTCCAAACTTCAACAGCTCATATCTCACAATCAGACCATCCAAACAACCTAATATTTTACATGAAGTACTAACATACTTTCAAAAACTACCACAAAAAATTCAACTACAAATTCATTACAGATCTTGAGATATCACCAAAACCCTAAGAGTAGCTTTAAATCCTAGCTTACATACACTTGCATGCTATTTTCTTCATATATCACAAAATAAACATTTAAAGACCATAAAATTTTGATCTTTAGCTTTTTAACTTAATAACTCACACTTACAAAAAATTTGAACTAAAAATTCGTCGAGAAACTCAAGATATGGCTCCAACCATTACTATCAATAAAATGACTCACTTACTACCTTTGAATTACATGTACTATCTTCAATGCCATATAACTCCTTCATCTAGACTTGTAATTTATCAAACCATACATGTAAAGTGTAGCCAAAAAAGTTTTCTCTCCACTTCTAGTCACTGATCTTTCATTGCTTTCTATATGCATATGTTATGTTTCAAAGAATGATAGTAGGTAAAAATTTGACATCTTAACTTTGAACACCTATATCTCTTTCATAAAAGCTCGAAATCACATAAATTCTTCTTCCAAATTATACCCAAAATTTTGAACTTACTGATCTTAGCCTCCAAAGCTCAAATACCTTCAAAAAAAAAACCCTAATTTCTAATAAGGCCTCGGGCAACCTCCTTGAAGCCCATTGGACATGGCTTTCGACCAATAGGAATGAAGTTTTTCATTCCTTGCCTTCATATAACCATGCTTTGCTTTCATCCCTCCCAATAAGCCTCCTATTAGTTAAGATTTTCTTCTTTAGGCTCTAATCTCTTCTCAAGGCTTCATACTAAACATTTAGATCCTATAAGCTTTTTGAAATATTATAATAAAAAAAAATAAAACTCAAAATAAAGTTTCTTGTATCCACTCTCCTTAAATTAATCTATTAACCATTCTAACACATGCCAAGTCTTATGAACATATTATGTGTTCTAATTAATTTTTTCATATTATAAGTAATTATAATTTGACAATGACAATCTATTTATTTCTCTCAACTGCACAATTTCTTAGCATAGATTTTGGATTTCTTCTATAGGTATAGAAATAGTGCTTCCATAGTTGGGATTGATATGTGTGAAATTTCTATCCTAAGAGTGTTGACAAGTTCGTGAAGATTTGTAATAATTATAAATCTATTCTCACTTTTACCAAATATAGCATCTATGATTTTTTCTTCAATTTCAAACAACTTAATAAATCTATAAGTCAAATAGAAGAAGATAATCTATAGCTTCTAATGTCAAATGAAAATTTCCACAAAGACAATTGATCCGCTCTCTTTAAAGAAAAAAATCAAGGTTTTAAAAATATAAAATATTAGTTTAAAGATGAATAGTCCACAACCTTTGAAATACAATAATAAAAATAGAGTAAACTACTTACTTTTGATAATAAGACGTGAATAATGAGTTTGCATTCTTATGAATTTGTCAAAGACAAGAACTTAAAAAAGATATATAAATTAGTAAAAAATGAATAAAAGAGAGGTGACAAAATAAAAATAAGAAAGTAGATATATTTAATAAGAAATTGGAATAGCTATTGAGAAGGACTAAGAACCTAGAGACTCTTGAAATTAGATTGGAAACAAAAAAAGAATTGACAAAAGTGAAGAAGGCTTCACTTTTACCTCTATATATACTATCTACCAAAGAGCTACATGGCGATGTTCTATAAGACCTCTAACACCTATCTAATTTGTAAGACACATGTTTGATTTATAAGACAAGTTTTTTATATGTGCGCCATGTAGTTAGCTTGTTCTACAAGCTATTAACATGTGCAATATGTGGCTAACTTGTTGGCCAAGTTTTTAACCTACCAATCACCTATAGATATGTATAAAAGTAAAGATGCAGTCATGAAGTTTCTAAAAAAATTGTCTACAAGATATTATCAAATTAATCTATTTATACCTGCTTCTACCTATTCATATTACCCAGAAGTAAAATGTCTGTGATACAACCTCTTGATTGTTGGATAATGCTCATTGATTTTCAGGTTTGCTTAAGACAATGTTTGATTTCTGCCTTTAGAGTATAGAAATCGGCATTTAAAACCGTGTCAAACACGGTTTTTGAAAGATCTGTACCTGGTCCTAATTGGAGCACCGAACAGTAGCTTAGGAAAGCATTGCATTCCAACCTGTGGGAGACTGCTTGACATAGAGCGAATGGTCATTGTTCAAAGCAAACTTAGTTGCGAACCCATGTGATTGTTCTTCATGCATTTGGGTATTCGCAAGGCCAAATGTGAAGGCCAACCAGCCATCTTTAGAATGATCGGGGAGCTCGGCAATGTCTTGGTTTCTCCTGGACGGAGACCTTCATCCAAGTTCCCGTGCCACAGCGCAGAGGTGGAGGTGACGGAATCTGAAGTCCTGGAGAGAGTCTGGGACCAAAACCCAGGCTGCTGATACAGGGGGCCTGACATGCAAGGCCGGATTTGAAAACCGCACTGCTGGAACTTCTGCTGAACATACTGCACCAATGCCGTGAGATTGCTCAGCTCATCGTTGTTTTGGCAGGAGCAACAGACTCGCACTGCAAGTGATGGAGTTTCCTTAAGTGAGCTTTGCTCTGGAATCGTGCAATAGCGCGGTGATCACGCACTCAGGAGCGTAAACCCAAGTGGATTTACTTTTAATATTAGCGCCAGCTTTGGGGGAGACAGAATGGCTAATGAAAGGTGACGTTAAGTGATTGCCTGCATAAATTTGGATCATTGACTCGTCAGCCGCGAAGGAGAGGACTTCTCGAGCTCCACCAAGGCTGCAGGTCGCCGTGAGCTGGCGCGATGAAACTAGATGGAAAGAGAATGAGTGAGAGAGCGAAAAACGATACTGAAGTTGTTAGCGGTGCCTCGGATTCCCTTAGCAAATGCGCCGTCGAGAAAGTCCTTTCAACCCCTACATTTCTACACTAAATGGCCTACCAATGATCATGCAACACCTACATCATGTGTGCCTTAGGTTCTATTCTCAGCATCTTGCGGAGTTCACTGTACGGGAGCCTGCCATATATCATTAATAATCCTTTAGAGTTCACCTTTTTAAAACCCAAGCTTTAGTCTTTGCCTAGCTTTGAAATTTGTGATTTTAGTTGCCCATATTTTTCTCATATTTTTCTTGAGTACAGGTAAAAAAAAACAAATTGTTACTCGAATTAACTGAAGATGTACAACTCTTCTTATGCCACCATCTAGGCACGAATGACCTACTTCTAACAGGAAAAAGTAGCATAGTGAGTGTTTTTTTACCCGTTACAACTGCATGGAGGAGGTTAACAGGAATGGAGAAGTTTACATCTTTTGGAATATATATCAACTAAACACAGCTGCTACGACAGTTCTCTATGCACAATAATGAACGCACATTTTCGAATGGCTGTCACTCGACCTCTTCAAAATTTCTGGTCCTTCTTGAAAGACTCAGGGATACTACCCAATTGCTTCAAATTCAAAATCAAATTTGGGAGCACAGTTTTGATCGGAGTTTGTGCACGATCACTCCTCATCTTAAACGTGCATTTACTCGACACTAGCTCACTCGTCCATTTTCTGCCATGCTAGTGCCATGTTCCCATGAGATATTACAGGGAAATGCTTTTGTTCCAGAATCAGAAATCATGTTGGGCCAGGATTTGGGAGGGTCTGCTTTTTAGGGCTAATGCTCGGAAGGAGAAGCACATTTGCAATGTTTACACTTTGATGATTTTCTATGAGGATAATTCCCCCGAAAAGTAGGCATGGCATGATATGGCTGCGCGAAGGAGAGGTATAGGTTCTGATGGATCCCACGGAACGACTTCTGCAGTAAACTCTTACCGACCATCCACTCGGTTCCTTGGATTCCTTGCCAATATGATCCTCTTTGCCGTTGCACAGAGCCCCCTCTTTTTTCCTTCTTTCACTGTAGCTCTATTACAACCATCGTTGGTTTTCTAAAATTACTCCTCCGTCACCGTAATATTAGGGTTCTCTATGGCCAGATGTGTGACATCTCATTTTACTCTCCAGGCTCTTACATAATTTAAGTAACGCAGATTAACACACGCTTTCACGGACCTCCAGCCTTGTGGGCTTCGTTGCAGAGGAAGAAACTAGCTAACAGGGTCAGGACCGACCTAATTAGCTAATCCCCTCCCTTAAAAGCGGAACTCTCCTCGACTTTGTCGCGATCTCGTCGTGTGGCAGGGCCCTGCTTTCAAACGGTCAGTCGCTGTCGCATTCCCGCTTCGTTTCCTGGCACCCCCTCCCCTGCACTACTCTACACTTCTCGTATGCTTCTCTTCACCCCCCAGCAAGGTTCGCTCTTCATCTTCCTGAAACTCCACGTGCATTGCATTGCATTGCTGTGCAATTGCCACTGCTCCTGCATTGTGCCGGACCTTGTTTGTGCGCGACAGAGGTCGCCTGCTTTCGTCTTCTCTCAATTTCTTTGGGTGGACGGTTTGTTCCCTCTTGTCTTGTGTGCCGACTGCACCTTCGCATCAGTTGAGCGCTATTGCTGTATACTGTGATTTGTCTGGGTCGTCCCAGCTGCCGGGTAAGGAAGGTTTGCTTAGTGGATCGGATAGTGTTGTAGGGGCGAAGAAGAGAGGTATGCCATGCAGACAGAGAGAGAAGGAGATAGAGCGAGTGAACGTAGAAGAGTAATAATAATATTTGTGGGATTTGAAATTCTGCTGCCGCAGTATAGGTATCGATCTTCCGGTGAAGAGGACAGCGAAGGGATTCGTCATCTTTTCGAAGACAAAGGGGGGCGGGTGATAGAGCGAGTGGTGCAGGGGATGTGACACTCTAGCGCATACCAAGATGTTTACAGACGGGCTTGATACTTCGGCTTTGCAATGGGTTCGCGAGGTACTGTATTTCGCTACTTGTCCCCGGTGTTGCTTGTCGTACCACCTCCTACTTCGTTGTCGATTGCTGTGAGAACTTCACATTGAAGGCAAAGTCTACAGGTGGGTTAACTAATGTCTTTGGATGAGCTGGGGAGAGGGTGGAGTGTTATCTAAGTGTGACAAAGGAATGCAATCTTTTCTACCTTGATTATAAGCCATGAACCCGAGAGGTGGAGTGGGTATCTTTTGCGGAAAGAGACGAAGACAACAGGCTGGACTTTTCACAGCAGTTGTTTGAAGAACCAGTACTACACAACATTCTAATTCCTACTTTTCGCACCTTACGTAAAGCACCGCGAGTTGGTTGTTGGAAAGCTGGAAGTAATCTCTTTTGTTGCACTTCATTTGACACATGAATGGTCCTGTGATTTACAATTAGCTGAGTGCTCTTCGCCTAGAGCGGCAGTAGTACCCCTAAGACTTTCGACATGGACGAGGGTCTCATATACAAGTCTGAATCGCGTGATGTAATAGTGATGAGTATGGTTTGGGTAGGTGTGTAAGATGAGTTGCCATCATATGGGGCGTGTTGGTGTTGCAGGAGCAGGCAAGAACAGTGACTACGCCGAGAACATGTAGCACGCCTGCGTCAGCAATGGGCAGTCCTGACATTACCCGGTACGAGTATCGCAAGGCAGGAACACGCACGACCTTGACGAGAAAGACCTTTGGGTTACCTCCTCCACAGTTGTCGAATGTCCATTTGCACTCTCAGGCCCTGAAGCCGGTGTATGCCCATGACCAGGGAACCTACGCTGCCGATGACTTGGAAGAGAGTGTGGGATCCATCTCCGGGGGCAATGTCCGAGGTCATGACGACTACGATTCCGGTGATGAGCAAGAATCTGGGCTATACTCTCCTGACACGTCCACCTCAGACAGCTTGCCCTCAGGTAACGCTGCAGGCCATGAACGCAAAGCTAACGAGGAGTTGTATGATGCTCGGAGGCGGCTTCCTCTGATGGCCGACCCAGTCGAAGTGGAAGACTACTACGATGGTCCACTATCTAGGAAGAACAGCTTTGGGAAGAAAGGAACTCCACGGAGAGAGATCTCTGGGCGCTGGGATACTCTTAATCGCAAAGAGGATACCAGTCAGGAAAGAAAAGAGAATGCTGGTAGCAGGCAAAGCAGCATTGACCAGCGCGACATACGGCAGGGTGCCTACACCGGCAGTGGGAGGTTTGATCCTTACTACGGTCGACGGGAAGATCCACTGGAGCGGCATGTTGCTTACACAGGCAGTGAAAAGTTGGACCCTGATTATGGACGATCTAGCATGAAGGTCAGCAGGGGCCCTTCAGGCGATGTACAACCCTCAGAAGATCAGAATCTGACTTCAGCAACTGAGTTGTCTGAAGATGACATCGATAGCGATGAGGATGACCATTCTGACGAAGATCGGCTTCAGAGGAGCTCCGGGAAACAGCAAGGTGCTGGTTATCCCAAGATTGAAGGTTATACTCCCTTTGTAAGTGTGCGTTTTCCCATTTCCAGGAACCATTCGCAAGTTGGCAAAAGCCTTCAATTTTTTTTTAGTGTAATTGACAGTTCGATTTGGCATGTAGGAGAGAGAATCTCGCTCCACTCAGAGAACTGTGCAGACTCAACCTTCCTGCCAGCGGTGGACTGCAGCACCCGCAACACCAGCGCAGGTGCGGAACTTACTACTGTACTCTTGTATAGAATGAAGTCGAAAAGGTCATGGGGTGTTTCCTAGCCTATCTTCATTGACACCCTGTTGCTATTCGTGATTTTTGCCTTGACCTGTGATTTCGAGTTAACTCACTTCTGTTTGGTTAGGCTCCGCTGTACTTGGGTTCAAGGCTTGATGTCATCATTATGAATGCCCTTGTTAAATCTCAACTGGGAGGATATCTTAATGAACTCAGGGCCACAAGGGAAACGTAGAGTCACCGCCGGACCGTTTGCCCAGTAGGACCGGGGGACCTCCAAGTGCACCGCCCTTCTTCGATGGCGTGGTTTTGGAGGTTTCTGAAGCACCTGCTTCGAGCATAGGCGGAAGTTACTTAACAGGTCTCGAGCAACAGAGCGCCTTTGCTACACCCTGTGAACCCAGTGCGAGGTAGTCTCTGGTTTCCTGCATTGTTGGTGGGTAGTTAAGACAGCATTCGAAAGGCTCAAGTTGGATACTGAAATGAATTGTTCGTATTGTTAAGTCAAAAGTTAACGATAGTTGATTGCATGTTCTCCCGTAGTCTATATGATGCGAAGTCCGCCATATGGCACTGGGAGGGTTTAGAGGCACTGTTTGAGATTGTGAGTTCTGTAATTTTATGTAGATCTATATCAACTGCTGAGGAAACTGGTATCTCCTCACATCGTAGAGGTTCCTCCGGTCCCAACCGTCCTGCACCAACCCCTCCTGTGGTATATCACAGGTATAGAATCCCTTCTGCTTTCTCCAAACTTTCATTCAGACATTAGTGGATGAGCGCTCTGAAATTTTCACCTTTTTTTGCCTTCTCCTACTGAGGTAGATTGAAGGCTATCCTCCGCGAATAGGGAGTATGACCAGCAGTTTACATGTTTGTCTTTAAAAAGGGACTCATTATGGACTTTATTGAAGCTGTTAATCACAGTATCTTCTCCTCCGATGGGTCCTAAATAAGATTGTTATGATTTGGTTTTCTGTGTTTGTTTCTGATGTATGGAGTATGTTTGACGAGTTTCTTCCCATGGCTGTAGTGGACAAGCAGCATGGCAGGCCCTTGTAGCTTACGATGCATGTGTCCGTCTATGCCTCCGAGCATGGGCACGGGGATGTATGGAGGCTCCCGAGTTTCTCATGAACGAATGCTCTCTTCTTCGGAACTGCTTCGGGTTAGTTCCTTGCCGCTTAAGTCTAATGTGCAACCCTGAGCACTCATTTGTAGTGCCGGTTACTCGAACAAAGATTCTACATTCTGGATTCTAGTTTAGAGCACTTCCTTTAATCCCGCTGCTATGCCTAATTTATCATAGCTAAGTATCCGTGTTTGCGATTCTGGTACTAGTCTCGTGGAGCATAAATTTGATCATACTGGCGACATGAATATGCAGATTACAACAACTCTTATTGCAACCTCATGAAGAGGGCAGTCGGAGAGATGTGAGCGAGGAACTCGGAGACTCTGCCGCTGCCTTCTTGCAGAAACGATCAATTGGCAAAATCAAAGTTCAATGTGAGCTTCATTTTTACTATATGTTTTGTCATAATGTGTGGCTCACTTTCAAACCTCATTCTCGTTTTGGAATGAACAAGGCAAAATATGGGACCCTGATCTTTGTTGCTTGGATATCGTACAATCTTTTCTGCTCGGCTTTTATTTAATATTATCATTATTTTTTGGTGTAACAGTGCGCAAACTGAAGATTTTGGCTAAACCACACCCTCTTCGTAGCAGCAGCTTGTCTGCGGTTGATACCAACACAGCAGCCCTCAGCTTTGAAGGGCGCACACCTTCTCACAAACGATCACTGCTATCCACTGGTTGGTCTGCTGTAAGGAAAATGCGATTTGTTCCAAAGCAAGGGACACGTAGCCACAATTCATCTCAACGCAGTATGGCATATGTTAATGCTGGTGCTGAGTATGTCCGCCACGTATCAGGAATGCTCAAGGAGAAAGTGAGTAGCCTGCGGCATAGTTCGCTTGCTGAACTACCACAAGGTATCAACGCCTCTTCATTTCATCCCAATTGATCATCCCAAATCGCTTACCTCTTTCAGTGTTATACTCGAATGAAAGATGCTAAGGGATGGAAATATGCACTTTCGTCTTGGGGCTACGTTTTCTTTACTCTTTACTCTGTTCGTGCAGAAAAATTTACATGCTTATTGCGGTTAAAGAGCTCATCAGAGCAAGATAGTCTACGCCTGAAACCAGGATCTGGAGAGACCGCTACTCTGTTAGTAACGATACTTTCCCATATTCAAACATCTGTTGTGCTCATAATAATCAGAACATGTCGTCAATTTCTCGCTGCAACTTTGTTCGATCTACAAAGAAAGATCAAATGAATTCCAGCTTATCTAAAGAAATCATTGATCGTGGGTTGTGCAGCCTGCCTGAGAGTGCAGGGGATGACCTCTTATTAGATGTACTAGACGAGAGGGGGAATTTGCACGGTCGACTGACTGTGCATGTTGCTTCAATCAGTGACGATCCCGTAAGTCCTCAGCTCTCAGACAACCAGCACTAATACTTCTATTTTAACAGTTCATTGTTTTTCTTACCATATTAAACTCTGCATTTACGTAGCGAGTTTGTAACGTGCTGTGGTATTGTGTAGGGCGATCGATTACGGTGGTGCGATGTTTACAGCGTACCAGACCATGATTGTGTAGGAAAAGTTCAATTGTTTCTCAGTTATTACATGACATCCGTTGAAGTTGACTCCGCTAAGGTAAATCTCCTCACCCAGTTTGTGTATGTTAACGAAGAACATCCTAATCTACTTAATGTAAATGCTCTTTCGCTTCAGGGTCCTTCGCTTTATATCTGTTTATGAACTATTTTGCCCACAAGAAGCTTTTTCCTCCTTGATTGCACTGGAGTGCTTGCATTTGTGTAAACGATATATCCCTCGCAATTTCTTGCACCTCAAAGTCTTCGTTGAACATGCAGTGGGGTCCCGTAGGAGAGACAAGAGCTTATGATATTGTCTTGGAAGTGGCCATGAGAGTTCAACATTTTCAACGTCGTAACCTGCGGCTGGAAGGCTCCTGGCTGTGGTTACTTTCTGAGTTTGCATCCTGCTATGGAGTGTCAGCTTCTTATTCTAAGCTGAGGTAACCGCGCACTGTATTTAGATTATGCTGTTTGCAAATAGTCATACTGGAGTTGCATCACATCAAGGGCTATGTCGTTACCGATCTCTCCTAAGCTGGTCTTTTCTATGATGTACTCTTGGGCTGAATCTGTGGTTGTGACCTTTTCAGGTACCTTGTGTGCATCATGGAAGTGGCTACCCCTACTGAGGACTGTTTGGTTCTCATTCATGATCTTCTGTGTCCCATCATTAAATCTCGTGCCGAGAACTCCTTGAATCGACAGGAGGTAGGGCAGTATGATCGCTTATTTATCATAGGTCTTTTTTGACGTGGTTCACGTCGTGCTTCTCTTTTATCTTGCATCTTTGTGCACAATGATGTAACTCCTCAGACGCAGTAGACGGACCTGACGTCTGTGAAATTTGCTATGATGTGCTGCAGAAACGTCTGCTTGTGGATGTACAAGAGCAGGTGGAGCAGCTTCTTGCAGTTGTCTTTGAAAATTACAAGTCCCTTGATGAGAATTCTTCATCTGGCTTGGCTGATTTTTCTGGACCTGTTGTTGGGTCTGTGGCGCCTGCGTTGATTCCAGCAGTGCAGATTTATACTCTGCTACATGATATTCTTTCTTCAGAACCACGGAATACCCTCAGAAATTATTTCAAGGTTTTCCACGATCCTACTCTCACAACCTGCAAGGACATTTTTGTCTGTTTCCACTATAGGTTTGTGAATAGCATTTGAGTTGTAGCATGTTTAGTGTATACGCTGGCATATTCTCAATGGGCAAGGTGTTTGTGGGAATGTGGTAGACTGCGGCTATGAAGAGATGGAAGCGGCTTGTAATGGAAACGGATGAATTCTTATCTGGTAGTAGTGAAGGATTCTTAATGGATCCGCTGAGCATGTCAAGCGCATATCAAAAAATGAGAACCTTGTGCCTGAATGTCCGCAATGAAGTGCGTGCCGACATCGAAATACACAACAAGCATGTATTGCCCAGGTCAGGAGATTGATGAAAGTTTGTCCGGTACAACTTTGCCGAACTTAGGTCTGAATTATGATCTGTTCATGATTTCACATCTCGTGAATCTGGTTAAGCGAAGAGGTCACTAGAAGCACTTGATTGTTTTAGTTTTGCTTGTGGTTCATTATCTCATTTATATCGTCCGAAACATGCTTGTGTTTCATAGCTATTATCTATGTGCGCATATATGCTTCATTACTGAATTGGGTTTCTTGACATGAAAGGGATGAATACTGATGACATTAGTCACTGGTATTGCAGCTCTATTGATTTACCCAATATTTCAGCATGCGTATATGATGTGGAGTTGGCTAATCGCTTGCGTTCTTTTCTGGTGGCCTGCCCCCCGTCCTCCCCTTCACCACCTGTTGCTGAACTCATGCTCTCCACTGCTGACTTCCAGCAAGACCTAACATCTTGGCGAATCAGGTGATTGGTTACCTTTTCTGTTCGTCTTGGCTGCAGCGCTGGTAAGAATTTAACGTATTGGTAGTTTTGATCTTCTTCATCTCGGAATTGCACCTCATCCCAATTGTTGGAATGGATCGCAGGAATCCCGATTGTTGGAAGGGAGGTGTAGATGCCAAAGCTCTATTTCACTTTTACATCGTTCTCTGGATTCAGGACAAGCGTCTGCATTTGCTTGATTTCTGCAAGTTTGACAAAGTAATCATCTCAAACCTGACCTCAACTGTACTCTTCATTGTCATTGATCTGCATGGGATCTTTTCGTACACTCAGAGAAGCTACTGATATGATTTAAACTGAGCATTGATGTAGGAGCGGTGCACGTGGGATACGACGCAGCATACCACGTCACCGTTTGTGGAAGAAGTTTATGAGCGCATCAAAGATACTCTGAATGAGTTTGAAGTGATCATGAACCGCTGGCCTGAGTATACTGTTGCTTTAGAAAACGTAAGTAGCTCTTCCTGATAACTTTTATGGAACATGAATAAGCCATTAATTACCTTGCATATTTTAAGTAGTTCTTATTTCCTCACCCTCATGTCGAGGGTGAAATGTCTAGCTGGTATGATCATGGAATTGAGGGGAGTTCTGTGGCCAAGGCTTCGACCCAGAACTTATTACTTTGCACTGTACAATTCCAGCGTTTCTATCCTCATGACAAAGCCAGGAAAGTGTAGCCTCGCTTATCACCAATTCGTTCCTAAATCTGGGCTTCTGTAACTCGGTTGGCAGGCTTTAGCAGACATTGAAAGAGCAGTGATTGGGGCACTTGAGAAGCAATATGCGGAGGTGCTCCTTCCTCTGAAGGATGTTATGATCCCAAAAAAGTTTAGTTTGCAGTACATGCAGAAGCTTACTCGTCGACAGAAACCTACTATATACACTGTGCCGAACCAGGTAATGGCCTCTTCTGCGCTCGTCTTTTTGTATTATAAATACACGCGAAGATTATGCCATCGCCATCACTTTTGTGTAGTGACCAAGTGCGGGTCTCTGCTATTTGATGGACTTCATGATAGATAGCCTTGCAACGTACTTCTTGCATGTGGTGGATGTATGTATGCATGCCAACATTTCCCTGACATGATTCTGGAACAGCTGGGAGTGATGCTGAATAGCTTGAAGCGGCTGTTAGACACACTGCGACCTAGGATAGAAGGACAGATGAAGACATGGGTTGCTTGTCTTCCGGAAGATGGTGGACCTGGCCGCATTGTGTTTGGAGAACACCTCAATGAGGTTACTATTGAGCTTCGAGCCAAGTATAAGAATTACTTACAATCTATTGTGGAGAAACTTTCGGACAATGTAAGCTCATTTGTATTTATAATAGACATGTTCGATGTGTCTAACGAATCGCTTTCGAATTGGCATGACATGTGCTTACATGTTTCACTTCTCAATTCACGGTGATGGATGCACAGGCAAAATTGACAAGGACAACTAAACTGAAGAAAATACTCCAGGATACCAGAGAGGCTGGTGGCGAGTCCGACATTTGTGATCGCATGCAACCGCTCAACACTCAACTTGTGGACACAATTTCTCACCTTTATGATGTGTTCACCCCACGAGTATTCGTTGCAGTTTGTCGAGGCTTTTGGGACCGTATGGCTAGAGTATGACCTTCCATATGCCTGTATTTCCTTGGCCAGTTTTCATTTCTGAACTTGTCAGATGCTACCTGAGACACGATACTTTACATGACGTTTTACGTTAATGATTGTGAACTGTCCCGTAAATGTGCTGAACGAATCTGTTGTCTTACAACGCAGGATGTTCTTCACTTCCTGGAGAATAGGAAAGGGAATAGGTCGTGGTACAAAGGCTCATCGTTTGCCCTTGGAGTAAGTATTCTTCCTTGCATCAATCTATGAAAATTGCTAATGGAGCTTCCTTGTGATTGCGACTGTGAAACGTGAACGTGAACGTGAGATTTATTGACCACTTCTTATCGTCAATCGCAGATTCTAGATGATGTATTCGCAACGCAAATGCAGCGACTGCAGGGCGGTACATTGCAAGAGAAAGACCTGGATCCTCCTCGCTCCGTTGCAGAGGCACGATCCTTGCTTTCGCGGGATGCTCAAAATGGCACCGACTCGTCTTCCTTGTTTTTCTATTGACAAGCGTAAACATCTATGAGCCCAAATTTTACGGTACAACATGTATAATATCTACGTGGGGGATAGTGCGAGAATATAGAGTAGGAAAAGAGGGTGCGTCTAGAAATTAGTCTGGCTCACAGCGGATCAGGAAACACTCCAAACACATGACACTGATGGGAAGAGTACTTATAAACGGTCTTTTCCATAGTTACCGACTCTTAACAACACCCAAGATAGATGTGAAGCGGCACCCACTCCAGTTATTAAGGTATTGTATAGTAAATTCTTCAGATACACCCTGTACATGGCCGGCTATTCAAGTCCTACAGCGTGTTGTGTTGTCGAGAAATGACTTCGTTTCCTTGGAAATGAGTAATATTCAATCCAATTTGTCCCAATTCTGACACATGTAATGTTCTTAGTGATTGTGTGAGTCATACTCATTTGTGAATCTTGGATGCATGTGATGCGAAAACATGTTAAGATACAAACATTTGTACAATAATATTTCGAAAGTAATATTCTTAGATATTTTATGTTGAATAATTTGTCTTATGTTCCGATCCTATATACCTAGTACTCCCTTCTTTTCTTAAGTGTTTGTATTACCAAAAATTAATCAAAAGAATATATTACTTGGATTATGTTCTTTAGGTTTTGAACAATTTGATTGCCTGGTTTTGCTTAGATGCTAAAAATTTCAAGTTTTGATGGTTTTAAGTCTATTTATACCTATAATGTTGGCCATAATGATAGTTATTATTGGTTTTGAACAAATAAAAGCATTGGATTTAATTGAAGTAATAGTATCACATATAATAAATTATTTGATTAATATTCAATGTATAGTTTTAGATTGTATGTATTATTATCTACTTAACTAATCATATTTTAGTTATTGTTGTATATTTTGGTGAATGTCTGAATTATAAGATAGCAAAGTTGAGTTTTTCTATTAACCATTCTTAGATTTAAAAGTATCAAATATGTATTTGTAATATACAAATAGTAAATTTTAAAAGAATTGATTTTTATTTTGACTAAATTTTAAAAGAATTTATTTTTATAAGCTTTATAGATACTACTTTGATTTTATAGGTGTCTATAATTGATTTTTTAGGTTATAAATCTGGTCAACAAGTTGGCCATATACTACACATGTTGGTAGCTTGAAGAACAAGCTAATTATGTGCCCCACATGTAAAAAACTTGCCATCTAAGCTATGGCATGTGTCTTGCAAAGTCAACACATATTAGAGATCCCATAGAACACTGCCACATAGCTCTTGTATCTTGCTATATAGATAGTCCATATAGAAAACTTACCTTACAATTTAAGATACATCTCATGCAAAGTCAACATATTTTTAGAGGTCCTATAGAATGTTAATACATTGATCTAAGGTAGATATTATATATAAAGATAAGAGTGAAGCTTTCTTCCCTCTTTGTCAACAACATGAACTGGAAGAAGATGCATAAACTTAAAAAATTTGTATTAAAAGAAAAATGACAAAATAGCAATAAAGTAGTATGTATATGCCACACGTTGTATCTTGCCATCTATTCAAAGAAGAATATCTCATTTGTGGAAATTTTCATCTCTATTACATCATTTTGAAGGCTATAATAATAGCAATATCTCATTTGATAAGTCAACAAATGTTGGCTCTTGAATTGAATCTACTGGTTATTGATTCTCTATCTCTTTAATGTTACAATTATACAAAAACTATAAACAAGGTTATAAAGTAGAATGCAATCTTTTTTAAATTATATTTTTTTTATAGCAAAGATTTGCTATCCTTCATCTTGGTATTGATAGATGTCATTGATAAAAAGCTTTAACCTTCTCTATTGCATTTGTAAGATTTTTTGCTCACTTCCATGTGTATTTACTAATATTGTATCCACACTAATGAATAAGATATTCAACCCTATCTCAGCACTGCCTTAAGTCTAAGATTTCTTCTACCTCAAATTCTTGATTATTATCCACTTCTATAAGAGGTAGTTGTATTTGTCTTTTTTTTAGGATATTTACTATCTTGTATGGCTCCAAAAGAGACATGTGAAATATGGAATGGATTTTCATAGACTCTAATAGATTTAATTGATAAGTGACTACATTGACTTATTTACAAATAAGAAATAGTCCAAGTCTATAATTATCCAACTTTTCACAAGAATGAATAATTTTATTATAACGACAAAGTAACCATATCGTATTACCAATATAGAAATGAGGTTTTTTCTTGCAATGAGCATCTATATTGTTCTTTTGTTATTTTTGAGTATTTTTTAGTTACACCTTCATTATTGTATGTAACTTAGATAAATGATTTATCAAATCTTCTACTGTAAGATTATCAACTTTTGAAAAGTCAAAAACATCAAGTTGTAAATGATAATCATAATTAGCAAAACAAAGTATTTATTGCGTAGAAGAATGTACCATGTTATTATAAGCAAACTCTCTCAATGGCAAAAGAGTTGTCCAATCATCTTATTAGTAGTTAATGGTACATCGCAAGTATTGCTCCAAAACTTGATTTACATACTCTGTTTATCGATCAGTTTGAAGATAGAAAATCAAAGATAGTTTTATGTCTACTTTTAGAATTTAAAGAATCATTCTCTAAAATCTTAATATAAATTGAGTTTTTTTATCTAATATAATATCTTTAGGCAATCTAAAATAGAAATGGATGTTGTCAAGGAAAAACTTGGCTGTTTCTTCACCTATGATATCTTTTGTACATAATAAAACTTATGTCATCTTAATGAAACAATCTACTATTTCAAATATAGAGTCAGAAGAACCTCAGATTTGAAGATTCATGATAAAATCCATAGAAACAAAAGACCATGGATGTTTTGGAATGGGTAATAATTGAAAAAGTCTATAGAGTCGATAATAAGGAGTTTTTGACTTTGAACAAAAGTCTTATGATTGAATAAAGTCTTTCATTGCATACCACATTTGTGGCTACCACAAATATTTAGATATAAGTTTTAAAGTCTTGTTGTATCTAAAATATTTAGCCATTATAAAGTCATGATGTACTTGAAGAATATCTAAATATTTTTCTTTTTCTAAAATATATAGACATCTTTTGAAATAGAGTAGGTTTTTTTTGAATTCAAACTTGAAAGTATCATGAAATTTAAAAGAATGATTCTTGATATCATAAACAAGAAGATCATAAGACATATTTGATTGAATTTATTTGATAAGTGTTAAATCAACAATTAATGTTTATTTTATTTCTTGAAGATGAAAGTGCTTCGGTTTTAAGAAAATTATTCTTTATTGATCAAAAGATGAATCTCTTTCTTTTGGTATAAGATAAGAATGTCTAAAAAGGATGTTTGACAAACCTTGTTATTTTTCAAATTAATAAGTGATTTTAAAATCAAATCTTGATAAGAACATACTCCAACAAGCTTAGCAATGATTCAAAATATGAGCTAATATAAAATATTTAAGATTCTTGTGGTCAATATAAATAGTGGCTAAATTATAAGTGCCTTATATAGATAATGAGACCATTCTTAAAAAGATTTTTTTGAGCTCTTGATAATCAATACATATCCACAATGATCCATCATTTTTTTTCTCAAATAAAATTGAAGCTCTTATTAGAGATTTGGAATGGCATATGAAGTTCTTCGCGAGTTTTTCTTTTATATACTCCTTAAATTTAGCCAACTCATTTTGTGATAAATTATAAATTGGTCCAAATGATGGTTGAGCTCTATCTTGAAGGTGAATTGAGTAATCACAAAGATGATGTTTTAGTAGAATATTTTCATTTTTCTTTTCAAATACATCTTAAAAATATTGATATTGGCTTGAAATACCACTTGAAGTCTTTCTACCATTGGAAACAAGTATAACATAAATAATATAAGATAATCCTTCTTTTACAGCATATAAAAAAACTCTTGTACCTATAAATACAAATTCAATTACAATAGACTTATTACTTCCTACTTGATCAATCATACTTTTAATTATGATTTCAAGAAAGTGAAGACTACAAGAATTTCAATCTATTTTTGGATTTTATTTCTTTAATCATGATAAATTTAAAATAATTGAATTTCAAGAAGATCTAATGATATTAAATATTACAAAGATATTATCACCATTAATTATTACTTTTATAGTAAGTCTTTATGAATAAATTTTTTTGAAGACAATAGATGACCATTTATGATTTTTATATGAATATGCTTAGTTTTCTTCACTAAAGCTATGCTATGTGTGAGTATAAATTTTCACTTCTTAATCCAAGTTACAAGATGGCCTCAATTAAGAGTTACTTGTAATTAGTGGTATGAAGTGAAGTAAGCAAATAACAAGAACAAAAGAAGAATAAGTACAAAACAATTGAAATAAATAACATGAAGCAACTACAACATCCAAAACTAACTCACAGTCTGTTCACTGTGTTTTCATCTAATAAAAAGTAAAAGTAAAAAATAAAAAGTAAAATTTTAGATAGTTAATTTTATTATCTTTTCAATGACGTAGAAAACATATAAATCCGAATTATTGTGAGTAAGTTATGAAGTTTTAAAGATATAAAGTAAAGAATTAAAAAATAAAGTAAAAATATTTTACCTCAAAGGTAACTTGCTTATAGATCAAGGATTCGAGCCTCACTAAGGTTCACACGTAGTGGATAAGGATCTTTTAGTGAGGCTACAAAGCTTTAGTCTTATCCTCCTAACTACATTCAAGATACTACAACCCATATGGGACTTATGCATTCCCCTTTATATAAAGACTACACTAGCTTCTGGCCTTCCTATTTTCTACTAAAAGGACCAACATTTTTGTAATTTTGACCTTACTATGGTGTTCAAAAACACCCAATTATTTCAGGAACCTTGCGTGGCCTTCAAATCTTGCTCTATTTCTTCATAAAGGCTCCTAAAGTAGTAAAACTCATTTTTATCAAGATCTTAAAAATTGTTCTAAAAATTCCTAAATAATTCTAAATAAATTCTAAATAAATTATAAAAAAATATATAATATTTTTATAATACTAATATCCATCTAAAGCTACATTTTTCTACCTTGGTGATTTTTGATAATAATAAAAATTAATTTAAATCTATTATAAATCTTATTTATTTTTATACCAATAACTAAAATGACATGAGGTTCTTTCTCATGTATCTTCTAACTACTAACATGTATAGTTTTTATAAGTAGTACATATAGATAGACCAATATAAATATTGGTCTTAATAAATAATTCTTACTATTCAACAATGAATAAAAATACTAAATCAACATAGATAATTACCTCCAAGACTTACTAAGACTCTATTTCTACCACTAATATTCTAATTTTCTATTTTTCTAAGGATTTCTATACCACTTACTATATA